ATCTTATCAAAAATTTATTCCCTTTCATGCTGTTTATTTTAATTTTCAAATGTTACTTTACAATAAATTTTCACTTTATGAACAGAGTTCACCATTTAGCTTGACAGACGAAACATGTTACTTATCCATAAAATAAGTGTTGCTACACAAAGCCAAAGTAATTGCTACCATTTCTACTAAAGTTAAACCTACGTACAGTGTAGACTATTTATTAAATAGGATAAAGATTTGTCTAGTGGTGATAACAGAACCATAAAGTGGTCTGATGTGGAATATTTTATCATCCTGATATGCTTTAGCAGTCATTGACAGTCATTGACAAGACAGGGAGAACTAATAATCACAACTACTAAAACTGGGCAATGGCTATATTCCCTAGGTATGGGAAGTCAGAGACACTTATCACCCTACCAAATGGCTAGAGTCCTTGGGGACTGTGTTGTATTAGGTAAAGAGATATTTTGGTCAGTACGTTAGACGCCGATAGTAGCCACAACAGCAGTAATATGCAAATAAATGAAGATGAAGATGCAATCCAAATCCTTAGCCCCGGGTCTTATATAAATATTATTATGTAGCTGAAAATTGGAATGGAGACATTTGTATCTCTGATAATAATGCTGGAAACGTGGTTGTGGTTGATCAAACATAAAAATCCGATTTCGTTATGACGGTTCACTGGCTAAGAGGAAGGAACCACTTGATCCTTTACAGATAGTAACAGATTCTATGGGACACATCATAGTGGCAGATGAATACAATGACTGTTCAAACATTTTAGATCAGAATGGGAAGTTCCTGATGTGTGTACTTTGTAGACAACTGTATCATAGACTAGATAAGCTTAGTGGATTGAGTGTAATTTGTTTAGTTAGTATTGGGAGGTTATGGGTAAGACTTAAAGGTTCTATCGACTTGAAAGTGACTAGATACATGGGAAAAACAGTAATGCAGATATTTTTCATTGCTAAAAATCCATGTTTGGTAGTTCCACCCGGTAAGATATGTGCTGGAAAAAAATTTCAGCAAAGACCATACATTTGAATCTATATAAAGTGACAAAAACATGATCTAATGTATAAGGTTAAGATAACGACCATTGATCGATCTCAAAATGTCCAGAAACAATACAAATATGTGAAGAGGGCATAAACACGGACCGGAGCAAGCTCTTGAGTATCGAAGAAGTTGGGAGACATAAACACCATAAGCAGGCGATAGTGAAATACTACTACATAGATATGGAAAGTTGACGATGAAAAAGCTAAAGTCCTCTCGTTTGTCATTCAATTTAGTTGTTAATTGGCCTTTGTCGTCTATAGTCAGTAAAACATCTAAATATGAAATAGATGTGACAGACTCTGTTGTGTCTTTATTTCAAGTTCACTGGGATATATCGAGTCGACACACGAATGAAAATGACTATTGTTAATTGATAAAACATCGTAGATATATCTGAATGTCGAATTGAAGGCCACAGCTAGGGTTTTATATTCTTCTCGTGTAGAAGTTTTTGAATAAATTCTGTTTCATGGAAATATAAAAACAAGTCAGCTTATAAAGAAGCACAATGAGTGCCGATCGAAATTCTAACAGTTTGTTGGAAAACTTGGTCTTGGAAGACTACATAAATGTTGTCAATGAGGAACTCCAGCATCCTTTTAATATCAACTTCAGAGCACTTGTGTGTGCAATCAGAGTGCATGGTTTTAATGAAGTAATTTTACTGATGACCAGTCACAAGATGTGAAAATTTTGGAGTACCGTTTTTATTTAAGAAGTCGTTGTCTATGATATCACATAGTCTAGATTTTATTTATCGTAAGGAATTGTTGTATAAAGTGTAGAAAATCGCAAGTTTTGGTGTTATAAACTTTTGAAAAACTTGGTGATTTTAAAGATTCTAAAAGTTCTTTCGAGTTTTTGAGGATCCCCATCTGATTTACATCACTTTTAGAATAAGCTGTAGCACAGTACGTCTGAAGTTTCTAATTTAAAACAGTTAATATTTTTGTAAGGAGTAAAAAGAAGTGCTTGTAGAGCATTTGCTGGATACAGCAATGTGTCTTTGTTTGTAAGGATTTTGATGAAGTTTAGGAATCCAGTACAGGTACGGTAGATCGAACTCACCTTGGTTGATTGGTATATTAAAAGTATAAAACACTGAAATATGGTTTTGAAGAATTTCTTCTTTGGAAAGTGAACTGTGAGCTTTGAACTAAAAGCGGATTAACTGCTAAGGTTGCACAACAGTAGAGCTTTAAAAAATTGTACCGTAATACATGTATAGTTTTTGTTTGAAGCTTCTAGCTTTTTGTTGCAAACTCAGAAAATATTATATACTAAATGCCCTGATTATAACGCTTGTATCATTTGTTTTGTTTTATTAATTAAATATGGAGGTAACGAACAGTATTCATGCTCGAAAGTTCATTCAAACGATACAAATCAGGAGCAGAGAAAAAACGGACCTCCAAAAACATCAGAGGCGGGATCGTGTTCCATGGAGGAGTGAGCATCCTCTGCCGACCAGTAACACCCGCCTTGTGCTTATTGTTATGATCTGGAAAAACGGAAAAATCCTTGGACAATTCAGTGTGTAAGTAATGGCCTAAGAACTAGTATGAAAATGTCAGTCAGCATTTGACTTAATGAGAGATTGTATTTGCTAACAAGACCATTGTTTCCACAGTAGAACTTGCGAACTGATGACTTTAAACGGAATTGTTGATTTTCTTGTTTCATCAACTTATTTGTCAATAGCTCGCCTCGTTTTAGAAATTGATCGTCAATAGAGCAAGCTCTTGTGTATCGAATCAACTGAGAGACATTAACCCTATATGCAGGTGATAAGGGTATGTAAGGGAAGTTGACGATTGAAAAGTTGAATCATCACGTTTATTATAATTTTTTGTTGTTCTAAAGGTTACCATTAACGTCTTTTTCTAGTAAATATCCAGATATGAAACAGATGTGTCAGACTCTGTGGTATTATTTCAAGATCACTGGGATATATCGAGTCGACATATGAATGGAAGTAATTACTGTTAATTGATAATACGTTGTCGATATATCTAAATGTCGAGTTGAAGGTCACAGCAAGTGTTTTCTTCTTCTCATGTATAAGATCTTGAATAAATTCTGCATCATATGAATACAAAAATAGGTCTGCTAATAACGGGTCGCAATTGGTACCCATGGAAATTCCGACAGATTGTTGGATGATACTGATGCACGCAAGTTCTTCTCTTTTATTATAAACAACTCAATATTCTTACATGTTTCTGACCTAGAGTTCGAGCCCATATGCATTTTACGATTAGGGAAGAAGAGATTTTTAATAATACTTAATAAGCTTGTTCAACCCATTTCATTCGGGAGAAGAATATCAAGTACGTTGTAAAGATTAAGTCAATTTTTAGGTTGTCTGTAGATTATAATGCAACTTTATTTTACATGCATATGTAATTAGATGATCAGACAACAAAAGAACATTGAGCTATAAAAAAAAATCACTAATTACCAACATAAAAGTCAATTACAGGCCAATACCATAGTGTATTTAAGAAATAAGGCATCATTTTAAAACTTTTATTGTACGGGTTGGTCAAGCTTTTTTGACTTTGAGAAAATTGAATCATATGAAGGTGTACATACTGAAATCTAGTTTATTTTCAACAGAGGTGACCATATTTCTCAAAGACAAAAAAGTAGAGAAATTACTACTAACATCGGGAGGATATATGCGAATAATGTTTTTAATTACTTTATCTTGGTCTAATATATGTTAAGAATATTATAACCTACTTTGAATCGTGTCACTTACAGTAGATTTCCACTTAATCCTTTGTTTATCAAAGGGCAGGTCATTCTATGTGCATAAAACTACCAGGTTAGAACTGTTGAAAGGTTCCTTAATCAGTTGTCGTAGGAAGAGAGGTAACTCCTTCAAAATAATTGTACTTTAAACCATTGGTGTTGACTGGAAGATAAAGAACAAATCGAAAGTAAATCTGATCTGGTATGTTTACAAATCTTTCCTCTGTTTATATATTTTGTACATTCTTTCGGGTGTATCTCTGACACGGTGTAATGTCTTACATTCTGTACATTGTTATTTAGAAATTTGCAGATTATGCATTTTTAGGTACAGTCACAAATGTGTCAATATCTGTATGACTAAATACATTGTTCATTGTTCAAATTGTTTTTATAATCATATTCTCACGCTTGAATTTTGCTGACTGACCATAAAGTCCCGTCTGCTGTTTATGTTAAAGTCAAAATTTGCTGCGTTTTGTTTATTTAACTTGGGAGGGCCTGCAGTTTGATATTTATTTTAATTATGAAACTATGCTGTTTCCTGTGTAGATTTCACAGGCACTTGTTTCGTATACGGGGCACCCCTACTTATTTTTACCACAAGGTACCTAACTCAATTTCAGGCACCCCCGCTTCAAACTCGTATTTTGTTTATATATTAATCATTAACCTACTTTAAAATGACATCGTTCGCTTCGAAAGACTTTTTTCTTGTCAAATTAATCGTTTCGGACGTCTCTGATCGAGCCTCTTTATTGTAAACCACTTATTTCTTCCTCGAAAATTATCTCGATACAAAATAAGACTACGAATCGGATACATTAACTTCCGGTTGGGTTATAAATGAAGGATAAAACCAGAGACCTTGGAAAGGAATTCTCGTAAGTCTCTGGATTTATCCTACATTTATAACCCAACCGGAAGTTAATGTATCCGATCCGTAGTCTTATTTTGTATCGAGATAATTTTTGAGGAAGAAATGAGTGGTTTACAAAAAAGAGGCTCGACCAGAGACGTCCGAAACGATTAATTTGACAAGAAAAAAGTCTTTCGAAGCGAACGATGTCCTTTTAAAGTAGGTTAATGATTAATATATAAACAAAATACGAGTTTGAAGCGGAGGTGCCTGAAATTGAGTTAGGTACCTTGTGGTAAAAATAAGTAGGGGTGCCCCGTATACGAAACAAGTGCCTGTGGTAGATTTACTATTTAGTCTGTATTTTCACTCACAAAATTCATTCTTGTAAAAGACTCAGAAATATACATGTCCAGACGTTATTATTCTCGGAGAAACTGTGGCCGATCACAATGTAAGTTTTACAAGTTTTCAGTTTATTGTTTTTAAAGCTGCAACTTTAAGGCTAATGTAAAGCGACATTAAATACCTCTGTAAAAGTTCATGTGTACTTTTAGCGAGTAAATCTGTGTATCTAATTTGTCAGGAATGTAACTTGATCGAGTTCATTCAAACTTTGTGTCTTTGTAGTGATTTTGTTTGTAGCTTGTATTTGTATATTTGTATTTGTTTATTATAGCTTTTCACCATCCACACATCCACACAGAACTCACACAGCTACTGTATATCGTCACCTATTGTAAACAGTGACACCTGCGCATATTAGGATCCGCGCCCCTATGTGAACTGTTTGTGACAATAAAACCTGGTTAACTGACTGTAAACCGTGTTTATATGTTTCAATTAAAAATGACATGGAAGGCAGTACACACGGCACAAGGAATATGACAAAAAATCATTCAATATAATGCTTTTATTTTGCATGTTTTGCAGATTCAAAATAAACGCAGCTAAGATGGCTAGTTCCAGTCCTACTTCCTGGGCACAAGAGGTCATTATCTGTGACTTTTGTGACAAAGCCGTTCAGCAGTTCTGTAACAACTGCCAAGTCAATTTATGTGGAGACTGCATCAACAGGCATGTCAACAAACACAAGTCCCTTACACATGATATTGTTCCTTTCAAGAACAGAAAGTTACACCTAGTTTTTCCAGAGTGTGAATTTCATCCCAACCAAAGATGTGAAGTTCATTGCCAGAAGTGTGATGTTCCAGTGTGCATCAAGTGTTTTCTCGGTCAACATAAGGGTCATGATGCTGTCGAGATATCAGATATTGTTCACAGAAAGAAACAGCAAATTAAAAGAGAGATGGAAGAAATTGAATCTGTTATCATTCCAAAGTTTAAAAACAATGATGTTGAAATTGAGAGAAAAAATTTAAAATCAGGTGAGGATTATGACCAGTTAGAAAAGGAAACAGAAAAGCTGAGAAAATGTTGGCATCAAGAAGTAGACACCATCTTTAATAATCTCAGAACTTTGATCAAATCTATGAGAGACAATGATATGGAAGCAAAGAGAGCTTACAAGACCAAGTGTAAAAACCTGATTTCAGAAATGATCCAAACAGTTAGACAAAACAAAGACATCCTGAAGACAAACAGAGTGCCTGATGTCATAAACTACAAATCTAAACTGAAGGAATACAGAGATATACCTGATGATATTGATGTAAAAATCCCTTCACTAAATGCAAAAACAGTTCAAGGTGGAGAATTCTCTGTAGAATTGGAAGAATACAGAGCTACATTAACACAGGAATCACAATCTGGCCCGACAAATGAAACCATGACAAAGATGCTAGACAAAGCCAAAGTCATTGCTACCATTTCCACTCACGTTAAGCCAACATACTGTGTGGCCTGTGTCGGTACAGGTGAAGTTTGGGTTAGTGGTGACAACGACATTATAAAGCATTTTGACATACATGGATCTCTACTGGACACTGTCATCTTCACAGGTGGAGGCTATCCTAATGATATCTCAGTGACAAGACAGGGAGAACTGATATACAGTGACTCACACAGTAATACAGTGAAGATAGTCAGAAATGGGAAGACTGAGACGCTTGTCTCCCTCCCAAATGGTTGGTGTCCATGCGGAATCTGTTGTACTAGATCAGGGGACATCTTGGTTACTATGTCGAAGACCGATTATCGCAGAAACAAAATTGTCCGATATCAAGATCGAGCAGTAAAATGTGAAATAAATGAAGATGAAGATGGAACCCCAATCCTTAGCCCAGGGTCGTACCTTAATTATGTCACTGAAAATGTGAATGGAGATATCTGTGTCTCTGATAGTAATGCTGGAAAGGTGGTTGTGGTTGATAAAACAGGAAAAGTCCGCTTTCGATATGACGGTTCACCAGCTAAGAGGAAGGAACCACTTGATCCTTTACATATAGTAACAGATTCTAAGGGACACATCATAGTGGCAGATGAAAATAACGATTGTTTACACATTTTAGATCAGAATGGTCAGTTCCTAAGGTCTGTAGACAACTGTGGATTAAATAAGCCTAGTGGATTGAGTTTAGATAAAATGGGACGGTTATGGGTTGGACTTAAAGGATCAAAAGACTTGAAAGTTATTCAATACATGATATGAGCTGGCATTGGGTATATTTTTCATTGCCAAAAATCGTGTTCGGTCATTCGATTTGAGAAGATATGCACAGGGGAAAATGTCGGCATACATCATGAAACTGTAGTGGCATAAAATGATCTTAAAAACACAGATTTAATGTAACTGCTAATAAAAATTACTGATCAGCAGAGCTTAAGAAATCATACTGTAACATAATTTTTGTCTAAAGCCTCTAGCTCTTAAATACAAAATCAGAAAATATAATTTATGAAATTAAAATGTTCTGATTATAATGCTTGTATCATTTTGTTTATTTTATTAAATGATATTGGTAAACAGAAATGCATTTTATAATTCATCGTCGATATACTTAATAACATGGTCCTGATCAAGAGTTGGAGTCCCTCACTATGGATTTTACGATTAGAATATATATATATATATATATATATATATATATATATATATATATATATATATATATATATATATATATATATATATATATATATTCAGATTGAACAACCCCGTCCCTAGGGAGAAAATGAAGTACAATTGTAAAGATAATAAGTCAATTTTTAAGTTGTTTTGTAGAATACAATTCATCCTGATTATTAGTCCCCTACCGGTGAAACCGGAGGGGACTATAGGTTTCCTCTGAGTCTGTCCGTCCGTCTGTCAGTCTGTCTGTCTGTCCCTCTGTCTGTCTGTCCCTCTGTCTGTCTGTCAGTCTGTCCCACTTCGTTTTCCGCACTGTTTTCCTAAACGCTTACAGATATTGAGCTGATTTTTGGTATGCGAGTGTATCTTGATGAGTTACAGATCAAGTTCACATTTCGTTCCGCTTCATTGATTTTTGACGGAATTACGGCCTTTTCAATTTTTAGGGATTTTCCGCAATTTTCTTCTAAACGCTTTCAGATATTGAGCTGATTTTTGGTATGTGACTTTACCTTGATTAGCTATAGATCAAGATTGCATTTCGCCCCGCTTCATTGATTTTTGACGGAATTATGGCATTTTCAATTCTTAACGGGAACCAGATTACAGTTGCCGGTAGGGGACTAGTATTGCTAATGCAATACTTTCAGAATGCTTGTTTTACCTGTATCATGTGTATATGACCATAGGACTGGCGGTAAATTTAGATTTTGCTTTGATGTTGCTGTGGTGTATTTGCCAGAAGAATTACAGTTTTTTAAGTCACGCCCACTTTTTGGCATCAAGCCATATTGTGATAGACCTTGACTGATGAATGAATGATTTTAATTTCCAGACCTCGGCAATGGCTGATGAATGAATGAAGTCAACATTTTTAATTTAAAAAATCTTAACATTAACTTGCCAAAAACGCCTTGTAATTTTTTTCCGTATTTTTTCTATGTGTTTCTTTATTCAGTAAATGATACGTTCTATCTCGAATTCTCGTCTTTCTATTTTCTTTCTCCAAGTACATGTACATGTAGCAATTTAACATCAGAAGTCCCTGCGTTTTTTTTTACTTCATAAAGCATTTCAAACTTTCATTAAAATGTCAGAAATCATTTCATAGTGTCTATCAGGGACCTTTATACTAGAAAGTATATATGTCCCTGTTTCTATACGTCGATTGCCATATATAAAAATTTCAACGGCGATGTTTTCCATTGACACCCCCCCCCCCTTTAAAAATAACGATCTCGAAAGATGAATTTTCTTTCAGAGTTGACGGCGTCAGTATAATACATGTAGTTTACAATCCTTACCCTTGTATCTGACCAAAAAATCATGTCTTCTGGGTCTTCAACATTTCGAAAGTACATCACCACATGCACCCATTCCGAATTTTTTATCAGTGATTTGCAGCAGCAGTGCCGTAGCAAAATATGACCCGTGCAGATGGAGACAGCTATTTATAATACAGACTCCGGACGTGGCTTGACACCAAGTAGTAGGCGGTGCTAATTATCAACTTGCTTTTCTCTCGTTGGTCTCTGGTACAAGTAACTTACACAATAGATATTAACTGGCTATCGGTAAATACACTCACAGTTTTTATTCACTCGGGGCTCCGCCCCTCGTGAATGAAAAACTGTGAGTGTATATACCGATAGCCAGTTAATATCTATAGTGTAAATATAACTTAGACGATGATTGCAATATAATATTGAGTCCTAAAAAGCAACATTTACCAATTTCGAAGTCAACTGCTGGCAGATTTTATATTGGTATGAACAGTTTTTGTGTGCTTAATTTATATCATAATCTTTATTTGCCTTAAGTTCATCCACAACAATGCTAAAAAAAATCATAATTAAGAAAGGACCAAACCTGAACAACCCTATAAACACCAATGAAAAAATAATTTTTGAACACTGAGAGGACAGTATTTTGTAAAGAGTTGTAAATACAGAGTTCATCTTTTTTTGAGGTCACCTGAGTCACTCAGGTGACCTATTGCTATCCGTTTTCGTCCGTCGGCGTGCGTTAACTTTTGAGCATTTTTAACTTCTTCTCCAGAACCGCTTAACCAATTTCAACCAAATTTGGTATATAGCATCTATGGGTGAAGGGGAAGAAAAATTGTGAATTTCATGGTCCCTGCCCCCCTGGGGCCTGAGGGGTTGGGCTAAAACCACCAAAATTAATGCAATCTTTAAAAATCTTCTTCTTTACTCCTGGACATCAAGCAGTCAAATTGTTGGCATGATTGTAATAAGCATTGAACCCTCTACCAAAATTGTGAAATTCATGGCCCCAGGGTCAGGGGTTCTGGTGCTAGGGTGGGGCTATATAGATCATATAGTGAAAGTGCATTATTTCTTTGAAAATCTTCTTCTCTGTTCCTGGGTATTAAATAAACTAACCAAGTATAAGTTATGATGAGCAAGAGTGCCTCTTCCAAAATTGTGAATTTCATGGCCCCAGGGTCAGGAGTTCTGGTGTTAGGGTGGGGCTCTATTGATTACATAGTGAAATTGCATTAATTCTTTGAAAATCTTCTTCTCTGCTCCTGGGTATTAAATAAAGTAACTAAATACATAGTTATGATGAGCAAGAGTGCCTCTACCAAAATTATGAAATTCATGGCCCCAGGGTCAAGGGTTCTGGTGCTAGGGTGGGGCTATATAGATCATATAGTGAAAGTGCATTATTTCTTTGAAAATCTTCTTCTCTGCTCCTGGGTATCAAATAAACAAATTAAGTACAAAGTTATGAAGGGCAAGAGTGCCTCTTCCAAAATTGTGAATTTCATGGCCCCACGGTCAGGGGTTCAGGTGTTAGGGCGGTGCTCTATTGATTATATAGTGAAAATGCATTAATTCTTTGAAAATCTTCTTCTCTGTTCCTGGGTATTAAATAAACTAACCAAGTATATAGTTATGATGAGCAAGAGTGCCTCTTCCAAAATTGTGAATTTCATGGCCCCAGGGTCAGGAGTTCTGGTGCTAGGGTGGGGCTATATAGATCATATAGTGAAAGTACATTATTTCTTTGAAAATCTTCTTCTCTGCTCCTGGGTATTAAATTAAGTAACTAAGTACAAAGTTATGATGAGCAAGTGTGCATCTTCCAAAATTGTGAATTTCATGGCCCCAGGTTCAGGGGTTCTGGTGTTAGAGTGGGGCTCTATTGATTATATAGTGAAAATACATTAATTCTTTGAAAATTTTCTTCTCTGCTCCTGGGTATTAAATAAACTAACTAAGAACATAGATATGATGAGTATGGCTGCCTTTTCAGAAATTGTGAATTTCATGGCCCCAGGGTAAGGGGTTCAGGTGTTATGATGAGCATGGTTGCCTCTTCCAAAATTGTGAATTTCATGGCCCCTGGGCCGGGGTGTTGGTGTCAGGGTGGGGCTCAATTGATATATATAGTGAAAATGCATTATTTCTTTGAAAATCTTCTCTCTCCTGGATATTAAATAAACTAAGTACATAGTTATGATGAGCATGGCTGCCTCCTCAGAAATTGTGAATTTCGTGGCCCCTGGGTGAAGGGTTCTGCCGTTAGGGCGGGGTTCTATTGATTATATAGGGAAAATGCATAAATTCTTTCAAAATCTTCTTCTCTGCTCCTGGGTATTATTCAAATAAAGAAAGTGTATTGTTATGATAAGGAAGAATGCCTCTTCCAAAATTGTGAAAATCATGGCCCCTTGGTCAGGGTTCTGGTGAAGGGGGGGGGGGGGGGGCTCTATTGCTTTTATACTGAAAATGCATAATTTCTTTCAAAATATTTTTTCTACTACTGGTAATAAAGCAAAGAAAACAAGTGTATAGTTATGATGAGCAAAGTGCTTCTTCCAGAATTGTGAGTTCATGGCTCCTGGGTAAGATGTTCTGGTGTAAGGGGGGGGGGGGGGTTACTATTTATTTAATTATATAGTGAACATGCATTTCTTTGAAAATCGTCTATGCTTCTGGGCATATTCGAGGCAAACAGAGTAAAAGTTTTAGTTTGCAAGGGTATTTTTATCAGAGACCAATGTGAGAAGTAGTAATTTGGGATCGGTAAATTAATACTTGTACCACCACTGGAGTTGTTACAGATAATACATTAGTAAAGGTACCCAGGCGCAGATATAGGAATTTTTTCCAGGGGGGGGGGGGGGGTCCATCCCAGTAAAAAAAATTCCATCTTAGAGAATTCTTGACAAGCAAAAAATATGTAAACTCCTTTCCCAAGCGTGAAAAACCTATTTCGTGTGTGGGTTGGGGGGGGGGGGGTTAGTCCTTGACTTCTAAAGCTTCATACCTATGACTTTTCGTACCAACTCTATACAGATCCGCAATTTCTAGGAAGGGGGGTTCCAAGGTCACTTTTAGTTGGTTTAATAAATATTCTATTATACTCTATTCTATACATTTCATAACTCTGCAAATTCCAAATGGGGGGGGGCAGACACCCCCCTCTAGATCCGCGCACGACAGGGAATGCTCACTCCTCCATGACACCTGATCCCACCTCTGAAGTTTTTAGAGGTAACGTGTTAGCTCTGCTCCCGATTTGTATTGTTTTAATGGACTTTGAGCTTGAACACTTTTTGTTATCTCCATATTTAATTTATCTTAAACTCTCCATCATCTTGATCTTGGCTTTGTGCAATTAATGGAGGCCAGGAGATGTTTTTGTGCCGATAAGTATATTTACAGTGTATAAATCTTAAGGTAGGTCCCCACTTGGCATATTTTTGGTTAAATATAAGGTTTTTCCATTCGAATCATTAGAAAAAAATCTTATGTAATTACAAAGCCCCTAAAATGCACATCTTGACAGGTTATTAAGTTTCTGACCAGAAACTCTAGAAGACATATATCCCTTTTTTCATCACACTATCTCAACTGAAACATATCTGGCTCATCCAAAAATAAAGCAAAATAACTCTCAAAAACTATCGATTTATCAGCTAAATTGTTTAAAGATTTTAACTAATGTCACTTTCTTTAATGTATTAACGAAGATGACAATCCGTGGAAAAAGTTCATATACCAAATGAAAAATTTAAAATTATCACAAAATTTGACATATATGTACACGTCTTTAGAATTTCATCATGATGATTAAACACCTTTTTTTCTCATTCAAATATACGATTTACATCTATTCATTTAAATAAAACTAAAACTATGTTGTGCTCAACAGACTTTTCTTCTTTCTACAACTTCTATAACATGTATACTCCTATAAAACAATCAACATCTACATGAATTTGAAAACTATCACTGAAACATATTTCGTTAGAAAAAAGCTAAATAACTTCATTTGTTTTGTACCTTTTTCCTTTTAAGCTAGCAATAGTAATTTCTGTTCACGCGACTACTTCATTGACTTTGAACATTTTTCCTGTGTAAATGGCTTGAACTCTTTTTGAAAATGAAAACAAGAGGCCCAATGGCCTTAACGGTCACCTGAGTACAATACAACAATTTAGAGGATCCATAAACTGATAAATGAAGCTTTAAAAGTTGCCCAAAAGCAAGAAAAATAGTATGATAAGCATCAACAAAATAATTGGTAAAGCATCTATCTGTCCCCCATTTAACACTATTACCATGCAGACCATTAAAAAATGTCTATTTTGTATTGAAGTATTTCCACTCCAGTGTTGGTACCTGTATTAATGTGTAACAGGAAAAGAGAAAAATGTGATGGACCAGACTGGGATTCTAACATTGGCCCCCTGAATCTCCAGTCAGGTGCTCTACCGACTGCGCTATCTGGCCACCACTGCCCACCAGCGATCGAACCCCCACAAATGTATTAACAGTGTTTCAACTTCAGAGGTGTAGATGTATTAATGTAATAACTGCAACAAGACTTTTTTTTCTACCTTTTAAGTACAGAAAATCAGAATGCTGACCCTTGCTTTGTTCTCCTTTTTCTCCATTTTATTGGCAGTGTTGAAAGAGCTTCTAATAGACTGAATTATTGAGGCATACAAAATATCTTCATGCAAAATACGACTTCACATATATATATATGTCATATAATGGAAATTAAGGTAATTTAACACATGAATAACATATTACATTTAAAAACACATGTCCCCTACATAAGATTAATTTTCTCTCATGTAAAGATAGTTTGTAGTCCCCCTATCTCACATTTTCATACATAAGATTAAAAGGATATCAAAAATGAATTTATAATGAGGATTTCACACATGGAATGTTAAATTACAAAATACACACATCTAAAGGACATAAATACATGTACATTGTAAATAAAGCATGTACATCAGTATTCATACTATTAGTATATGTTTAGGCACACAGAAATTCTAAAGCAAGATCCAGTTATTATTGGATTTCACTTATCAAGCAAATACTAAACCTCTGTAACAAAAACTAACTAAGTTACACAAAATATCATCATTTCCAGGCACACAATTTGTAAAATATTCCAAAATTTAATAAAACCCCTATTGAAATTTCAAAAAGTTTTGACCCAAAGCTAAAAAAATATACAGTGTACAACATTTATCAACCATATCACATTCCCTCAAATACATAACTTAACAAGAGGCCCATGGGCCACATCGCTCACCTGAACACATTGGCTAGACAAAAGCACAATCAGTTCAGTATTGAAAAGATCGGGGGGGGGGGGGGGGGGGGGGGCTTGAATTTTAAACTATCTGATGATGCTTCCACATCAATATAACAAATGGCTTTGTTGTACTTGAGATGATTTTTTAAAAAAAATTCCCATATATTCCTTTGTAAAAATTTGATCCCTCATTGTGGCTCCTCCCTATCCCAGGAGTCATCATTTGAACAAACTTGAATCTACACTACCTGAGGATGTTTCCATATCAATATGACTAAACATAGCTTTTCTGTTCTTCAGAAGAAATATTTTTTCTATATGTTCTTATGTAAAACTTTCCATCCCCCATTGGGCCCCATCCTACCCCTGGGGGTCATCATTTGAACAAAATTGAATCTACACTACCTGAGATTGCTTCCATATCAATATGACTAAACATAGCTTTTCTGTTCTTCAGAAGAAGATATTTTCCTTTATATTTCTATGTAAAACTTTGATCCTCCATTGTGGCCCCGCCCTACCCCCGGGGGTCATGGTTTGAACAAACTTGAATCTACACTACCTGAGGATGCTTCCATATAAATATGACTCATCATGGCTTTGCTGTTCTTGAGAAGAAGATTTTTAAAGATTTTTCCCTATATATTTCTATGTAAAACTTTGATCCTCCATTGCAGCCCCGCCCTACCCCTGGGGGTCATGATTTGAACAAATTTGAATCTACACTACCTCAGGATGCTTCAATATAAATATGACTCATCATGGCTTTGCTGTTCTTGAGAAGAAGATTTTTAAAGATTTTTCCTATATATTTCTATGTAAAACTTTGATCCTCCATTGTGGCCCAACCCTACCCCCGGGGGTCATGATTTGAACAAACTTGAATCTACACTATCTGAGGATGCTTCCATATAAATATGACTCATCATGGCTTTGCTGTTCTTGAGAAGAAGATTTTTAAAGATTTTTCGTATATATTTCTATGTAAAACTTTGATCCTCCATTGCAGCCCCGCCCTACCCCCGGGGGTCATGATTTGAACAAACTTGAATGTACACTACCTAAGGATGCTTCCACATGAGTTTCATCTTTCCTGGCCCTATGGTTCTTGAGAAGAAGATTTTTAAATGATGCCATTATTTTTTCAGTAATTCCTAATTATCTCCCCTTGAAAGAGGGCGTGGCCCTTCATTTGAACAAACTTGAATCCCCTTTACCCAAGGATACTTTGTGGCAAGTTTGGTTGAAATTGGCCCAGTGGTTCTTGAGAAGAAGTCGAAAATGTGAAAAGTTTACAGACAGACAGACAGACAGACAGACGGACAGACAGACAGACAGACGGACAGACAGACAGACGGACGCCGGACAAAATGTGATCAGAAAAGCTCACTTGAGCTTTCAGCTCAGGTGAGCTAAAAAGTTGTACAGTATATACATGGTTTTTCCACGCCAGTCACAAATTGATAACAAGTCAAGGTTATTTTTGGTAACACTCCATCTCCATTACAATCGGCCCATGTAGAGCAAAAAAGTGACAACTCTTCACAGAAGATATTCAATACCTCTGTAATGTTGGTGAGACAAGATATATCTACGAAATTAATGGATGTTTTACGTTCAACTAAAACTGAAAATGATAAACATTCTTACATCTGTCAATTCAAATACAAAGCAAAACAAAATAAAATCAGAGATTACATATATGTGTACGAGTTTACAGTGATTACATTGTAATGTAATATCTTGTTTAGCATATTTCTATGGTTTGTTCCCTCCACGAGTAATGATTCAGCATCTTGGTAATGCAATACTTAGTTGTCTTTACTCTGTCAGCATGATGAACTGTATCAAACATGATATTTATAAAAAAATATTTCACATTATCACTCAACTTCCAAGTTCATACATAAACAATTGCATAGTCATGGAGACATAAAGAAAACTAACAATGTGTATGGAATAGCCACTACCATTTACTGTTTTTATGATGCTTTGAGCAAAATCAGATATATCTAATAAGAAACCTAACAATAAGCATAAGAATCTATAAGATTCCCTTTTTTTAAATTACCCTATTTGTATGTTTACTTTGATTGCAGATTTGTGTAAACAAAATGTATTCTCTCTAATGATAGTTCAATCAATCTTTTAATGATGAAAGACGTAAGAATTGAAAATATAGTGAAAGATAAAGCTGTCGCCAGTGAGTGTCTTGTGGGAGTTGAGTGATGGATCTACATGATGATCTGAGGTTCTGGGACTGAGTCACTGATTGATTTATGGGGGAGGATCCGTCCTCCATTGATGTAAAGTTCATCCTTTACTGTCACGTCTTCTCCTAACACAGAAACATTCTCCATCCGCACCTACATAAAAAAAAATGTGGTTTGTTTTGAGGGAAAAAAATTGACGCAATACATTTAGAATCATTACAAAATTAAATTACAATGTATGGCAAGAGGCCAATGGGCCACATCGCTCACCTGAGCACATTGGCTAGGGAAAAAAAAAGAAGCAAAAATCAGTTTTGAAAAGTTTATGGGGGGGATGGGGGGTTGAATTTTAAACTACCTGATGATGTTTTCATATCAATATAACAAATGGCTTTCCTGTTCTTGAGCAGAATATTTGTTCCCATCTATTCATTTGTAGAAATTTGATCCCCCATTGTGGCCCCACCCTACCCCCGGAGGCCCTCATTTGAGCAAATTTCATTCTACACTACCCAAGGATGCATCCATATCAATTTGACTAATCATGGCTTTTCTGTTCTTGAGAAAAAGATTTTTTCCTATATATTCCTCTGTAAACTTTGATCACCCATTGTGGCCCCACCCTACCTCCTGGGGTCATGATTTGAACAAACTTGAATCTACACTACCTGAGGATGTTTCCATATAAATATGACCAATCATGGCTTTGCTGTTCTTAAGAAGAAGATTTTTAAAGTTTTTTCTATATACTTTTATGAAAAACTTTGATTGGGGGGGGGGGGGGGGGGGGGGTCATGACTTGGACATCTTGAATCTACACTACCTGAGGATGCTTCCATATAAATATGACCAATCATGGCTTTGCTGTTCTTAAGAGGAAGATTTTTAAAGATATTTTCCTATATATTTCTATGTAAAACTTTGATCCCCCATTGTGGCCCCACCCTATCCCGGGGGTCATGATTTGAATAAACTTGAATCTACATTACCTGAGGATGCTTTCATATAAATATGAGCAATCATGGCTTCACTGTTCTTAAGAAGAAGATTTTTAAAGTTTTTTTTCTATATACTCTTATGAAAAAACTTTGATCCCCCATTGTGGCCCCACCCTACCCCGGAGGCCCTCATTTGAACAAATTTCATTCTACACTACCCAAGGATGCCTCCATATCAGTATGACTAATTATGGTATTTCTGTTCTTGGGAAAAAGAATTTTTTCCTATATATTCCTCTGTAAACTTTGATCACCCACTGTGGCGCCACCCTACCTCCAGGGTCATGATTTGAACAAACTTGAATCTACACTACCTGAGGATGCTTCCATATAAATATGACCAATCATGGCTTTGCTGTTCTTAAGAAGAAGATTTTTAAAGATATTTTCCTATATATTTCTATGTAAAACTTTGATCCCCGAATGTGGCCCCACCCTACCCCCCGGGGTCATGATTTGAACAAACTTGAATCTACACTACCTGAGGATGTTTCCACATAAGTTTCATCTTTTCTGGTCCAGTGGTTCTTGAGAAAAAGATTTTTAAATGATGCCATTAATTTTTTACTAATTTCTAATTATCTCTCCTTGAAAGAGGGTGTGGCCCTTCATTTGAACAAACTTGAATCCCCTTAACCCAAGAATACTTTGTGGCAAGTTTGGTTGGATTTGGCCCAGTGGTTCTTGAGAAGAAATCAAAAATGTGAAAAGTTTACAGATGGACAGACAGACAGACGGACGGACAGACGGACGACGGACAAAATGTGATCAGAAAAGCTCACTTGAGCCTTCGGCTCAGGTGAGCTAAAAAACATAAGAACAAGAACTTTATGGTCACCAGCTGAGTATCATAAATATTTTTGGTGACAAAAATGTTATCACTGTCTTTTATCTTACATATTTCTTTACAGAGGGTCAGTCAGGGCTCCTCATTAGTCAGGTTGAAGAAAACAAACGTGATGTTTTTTTTTTACCTGAACATTTATTTCTCTGAATTTATTTAACAGCAAGTAAATTTTTTTTCTTTTTTTTTTTTTAAAATTCTCTTATCATTGATTAGTTAAATCTAATCTTGCACAAATGGCAGTGGTGATCATAGAAAAATGTAGTCCAATATGAAAAACTTTTTGCAAGGACAAATAATCATGCAACAAATTAAAAGTCTGCAAGATAATATATCAAGTGTTTGTGATAGTTTGAGTTAAAGATACCAATGAATGTGATTATTTTAACAGGAATTCTCACTATATTAGCTTATTTGGGTGAAATATTTTACCCATCTTACTAATGTACAACCGGGGCACAATTAACGCATAATCTGAACTAAGAGCAACACAATTAATGCACAAATTGAGCCAGGAGTAACAACTTACCCATCTTCCCACAACACATCTCCAACCAATGATACAGGACTCGAGCCATGAATGAGACCGGACTCGAGCCCCCCTTAGTATCGTACATCTCTTTATACATGCTCCATCCTCTATCACCACATCTGGACCAATTGTAACATTTGGGCCTATCCTACAATTCCTTCCAATTTTGGAACTTGGATCCTTTAATAAAATATTACAAGTCTAACTTACTGAATAACATTTTTATGGACAATTTTTAATTGAACATTATCATAAATTCCTCTCTGATATAATAACAAGGTGTTAAAATGGTCATAAGTTAGCACATGATGTAAGTGAACAAAAAAGTTAAAAGGAACTAAATTTTTTCTGCAAAATTAGATATGTACATGTATTTAATTTTCTTTTTTACTAAAATCTAGTACATAAGGCCAACAAAAATTAATTAATAGTTTCTCAGGCCAAAAATTTCCAAATTCAATGCGGTAGGCAGGTTCTTTTCTTTTTTGTTTTTTTTTTCTTTTTGTTTGAAGCAGGTGTCTCTCTTTTACATATCAGTCTTCAACAAAAAGATGATATAGATAGTTTATCAATTATAATATGTACTCAACTTTAAATAATGTTACTCCAAACATCTGTTTAAAAGTTTATTGATAAAGTACCGTATTAACAAGAAGTATAATGTTCATGTAATAAAAACGTCTATCTCTTAGCTCTTATGAAAAGAGGGATAACTCAGTTTTCTTTTCCAAATTTGAAAAATAGAAAATTGAGTTATTCCCCTTATCAATATGTCGATAAAATTGATCAATGCGGCAGTTTTTGACCTGATGCGGCGGTGCCTGACAAACTATTGATTAATTTTTTTTTTTTGGCCTTAATGTAAATAATCTATTACTAAACTATCAAACAACAGACATTTTCCTTGCTACTGGTACAGGAAGAACTGATTTTTGACCAATAACATACCACTAGGACATTTCCCACAATGCCTTCCTCACTGTGTAGTAAGTCAGGTGACTTCTCTCGTAATGAACTGAGATACAAACACATCCCGGTCAGGAAGTCTTTAGGCTGTCCAACGTCCATCCAAAAACCTACAGAAATTCATCACAAGAAAGTCTGATATAAAAAAAAATACAGAAATTCATCACAAGAAAGTCTAATATATTATCTTTGTTTTTTATCAGTAGACTGTGTTTGGCTTTATGTTGAGTAAGTGTTGACTCTGCCATATTTCCAAATTTCATTTTAATTACCAATTCAGTAGGACTTTTATAATATTACAGAATCAAGTCTCTATGTTATTGTGTCAGCATTATGAAAAATCACCTTGTAATTCCATAGCATACAGATCCCCATCATCTGCCATAAATGGAAAGACTTCTTTTTCTATTGATGTGGGTTTTAACTGAAACACAGTCATAAAACTGATGGAGTGTCAAGATATTACAGTTTAATAAAGTGATTATACTAGTGTCAAAATGCATTAAATCACAAATATCTATTTTACATCGTATCCAGAAAATTTCATATTAATTGTTTTTGAAAAGGAAAGCATTATAAGCATTATACAGTAAAACACGCTTATAACAAAGTGCCAGGGACTGGCAATTTTGCTTCGTTATAAACGTAATTCGTTATATCCATTAGGTTCACAATATGTTTAAAACTCACGGGGAACGAAAATCACTTCGCTATAAGCGTCATAATGAATTATAAGTGTGTTCACTATAAGTGTGTTTTACTGTACATGTATTACATGCATGTACCACTGCGTTAAGTTTTACTAAATGCTCATGTATAGAAATCCTATTTCTTAAAATTAGGTATAATACTTCACAATACAAAGTAATTCTTTGGCTGCTTTATTAAATCAAAAATCTCTTTTGTTTCTTTAAAATATATTAATACCTACCTGAATTCTATCTAACACTGAAGGACTAAGGATGTACATCCCTGCATTGATTTTGTTGGAAACATACTCCTGTGGTTTCTCTACAAACCTCTGGATCCGCCCATTCTCTGCATCATATACCACTACTCCATACTTGGAAGGCTCATCTACCTTAGTAACCTTGTTAAAAAAAACAAATCAAAAATGGTTAAAGACATAAGGACAGATAACTCTTCATTTTAAAATACAGTCAAACCTTGCTATCTTGAATCCTGTTGAACAGAGATATAAATTTGAGATAACCAGATGATTCCAGATATTGTGGTTAAAATGAGAAAAATGTTGGGACTTTTAACTCACTTTGCCATATACCGTAAAGTCGCGAGTATTGGCCACAATGGTGTAAAAGATGCACCCCCAAAGTTGGGGTGAAAATCCTGAAAAAACGCAGGTCCTATGTAAAATGCGCATCCAAAAAACGCATAAATTGGATGTGACTTTAATTTTTCTAGTACAGTAACTTAAGGTGAAAGTAGGAAAATTTATGAATCTAAAACGAAAGTAGCAAGTCAGCTTTTTTACTCTACGTATATTAAGTGTGCATATGTGAACATTTAAATTTAATCTTTTTAATAATTATTTAACCAGAGATGATGAAAGAAATACCTGATTTTTTTTCTTTTCAAATTAATTCCAAGCGTGTTATGAAGTTATGCTTACCGGTATAATGCATAACAAGCGCGTGTCCATATTTACGTAAACAAAAATCATACCCAAGCGATATTAGTGTCAAAGGTTTGGCTTTGCGTAATTAAACAGTTCTTGGTATCCATCGATAATTATTTTAGTTAGCTAGTGCAATGAATATTCAGTTCATATGGTATCCATGGTATTCAAGATATCGAAGTTTGAGAAAAAAAAGTCTTTGTAAAGAAGACAAAACTTCATTAATACCCTACCACAATGGTCCCCTGTCGACCGTGGTGTTTGTGGAACTGAACCATTTGTTTGAATGGGAAATCACATATAATGTCACTGTTCAACACAAAGAATGGCTCATGGTCCTGTGTCAGGAGATCTTTGGCCAGTGCTAGTGGACCCGCTAAAATGACAAAAACGGAGTTGGTTTAACAAAACGGACACAGTGTTTTATCTCATGCATGTACATATATATTTGTTTATAGTGTAATTTACTTGCATAAAAAATATAAATATATGATACAGATGTGTTAGAGTGTAAAAGATTATGGAAATTTTCATGTTAAAAAAAATCTATTTTCAGAACAAATACAAACCTGTTCCAAGAGGTTCAGATTCCAGGGAAATACTGATCTTTACTCCCAGCTGTCAACAGAATGAGACAAGCATTAAATCTTAATTCCATATAATGAAATTTAACAAATATGCATCAAGTTCAGACTTTGTCAACATGTAGAGATTAAGACAAGGGAAGAAAATATTGATACATGTGCATTTTTTAAAATCTGTATTACACATTTATAGAAAGAGAGGAAAATAAAATTAAACAACTAAAATTAAAATTCCTAAAGGCTCTACTCTAAAATACATTTTTCCAATTGTAATCAAAATCAAAAAATGAATCAAAACATTTACTGAAAAATCACTAATTTTTGTGGGTGGGTGGGTGGGGGGTAATATTTTCGTTGTTTTCGAGGTATGAAGAGACCCATGAATTCATGTCTACCACAAAATGTAAAATGTCATTTATATAACTACTCGACAATTCTTCATCCATGAAATCAAATCCCCATGAACCCACAGTTTTTCTTCAAACCATGAAAATTTGCCCAAACGAAAATATGTGATTTACAGTACATTATTTTGTGGATTTGAGACATAAGAACCAGTTAATGAAAGGGGCTAACGTATACAGGGTAATCTGTGCATTTGTTCTTTTTTTCTTTCATTTTTTTTATTTTTAAGTTCAGTTTAAAGCACAAAAAAGAACATATTTCATTCCCATGAAATTTAGCCTTTATAAAAATTATTATATAATTGACATGATACCTTGGTCTCTACATTCCTATTATATAATGACATAACTGACATGATACCTTGGTCTCTACATTCCTATTATATAATGACATAATTGACATGATACCTTGGTCTCTACATTCCTATTATATAATGACATAATTGACATGATACCTTGGTCTCTACATTCCTATTATATAATGACATAATTGACATGATACCTTGGTCTCTACATTCCTATTATATAATGACATAATTGACATGATACCTTGGTCTCTACATTCCTAAGTTCCTGTTCCATCTGTTCTGCCCGATAGCTAACGGCCAAAATGATGTGCTTCACCCCAGCCTACAAACATACACGATTTCTACATTAAAATCATCCCTAAAAGCTATATTTCGAAATGTTCTGATTCTACAATATTGAAAATTCTCTTTTATTTTATCAATGTAATGAAAATATCACTATCTTTAAATCTGATTTGCCTAATATCTTTACACTAGGACACCCAATATCTTAAAAATGGTACATACCCAAAATCTTTTAAATGATTTGCTTACCTTTACAATGGTACACACAATAGTATTACAATGGTATGAACAATGAAAACTTTATAAAATGGTATACAAAATATCTTTACAATGGTACTGTATACATGCACAGAACTGGCATTTTCAACTAAGTGTTATACCTCTACCAAAGCTTCCAGTTGGTGAAGTAGCATAGGCTTGTTTCCGAACTCTACCAATGGTTTGGCAACACTGAGGGTCAAAGGTCGTAACCTTGTTCCATATCCTCCCACTAGAATAAGTGCCTTCATGATGGTTGGTTACACTACAAGTGTTTATTTAATTATGTCATTTTTTAAACAAAGCAACTTTTTAATTTTAATGCATTCAATTAAAGTATGATTTAATTGTTGATCACTGTTTGAGTGCCTGTATTGTGTTCAAACTTATGAACACTTCTTCACATCAACACCAATAAAATATTCTCATGCGAATTCAGAAGTCAGTGTATCAGAATAGCCTACACCAGTGACTGATAACAAGAGACATGGACCACAAGCCCACAACACTCACCTGAGTCACTATGGTCTTGCTGTTCTTCACTCCATATAGTCCTATGTAAAATATAATCACCCATTGTGTCCCCACCCTATCCCTGGAGTCATGATTCGAACAAACTACTAGAGAATGCTTCCAAATAAATATGAATAACAATGGCTTTGCTGTTCTTGAGCAGCAGATTTTTATAGATTTTTTTCCTATGTAAAACTTTGCTAACTCATAGTGGCCCCACCCTTCCCCCGGGGTCATGATTTGATTACACTTGTAACAATGAATCTAAACTATGAAAAGAAGCTTTCCCAAAAGTTCAATCTTTCTGACCCAGTGGTTCTTGCAAATATTTTTGGAGAGTTGCTATATATTGGCAAAATTATTGTATTTTTTTACCGCGCCCCCTTAGTTCCTATGGCCATGTAGAATAATGTAGCAGGAAGAGAATAAATTGCAGGAATCAAACTTGAGCCCCTCTGAACACTTGACAGGTGCTCTACAAACTGAGCTAATAATCTTGTCTCCAGTGATTGAACCTGCCTGTCAACCCACAACATTCCTCAATCCTAAAATTATGTCTTTGCCAACAAAGTTAACAAACTTTGTCCTTCTCTTGAAAGTTTCTTCACCTGTCATTTAAGTGCCTCACTTCCATGGTATGGCACAGCATCAAATGCAACAAGAGGGAAGAAAATGTTATGGATCAGATCCTTGAACTCTATTCACGTGCTAAATACTAACTGAGCTACCTGGCCACCAGCAATTGAACATGCCACTATAGATTAATTAAACTCATATCAGTAGTCAGCTCAATCAAGCATAGGCTTTGAGGATGGCATTACCTGCATTAGACTTTTTACGGATATCAAATTTTCTATATGGAAAAAAGAGAAAACTCAAAATGCAATTCAATGTATTACTACTGGTTGTTTTAATTTTGGTTTAACTGTATGCATATTCATAGAATAAACAAATGAATAGAGTCAAATTCACATTGAAAATACATATACGTGGATACTTTTATTCGTGCTGCATTAGACTCAGCTCATACCAAAGAATCAAAAACCTGATACGTCTGCCAGAGCAGTTTAATATAGGCCAGGCAGGCGGGGCACATCAAATAACATTATGATGCAATGTTGTACCATCTTCAGTAAGGTCACATTACTTACAAATTCAACGTGCCGATCAGTTATACTCTGTTTTATATCGTAAATTGAAAAGTACATCACATGCAACAGCAAAAACAGAAAGAAAACACAACGTACCTAAGATAAACAATCGCAACAACGTGTCACAACCAAAACCGGAAGTAGCATTGGTTAATTTCATCCATACATAAAACTATTCGTATCACTCATCCCCCCCCCCCCCGAAATCTTGCCTCGGTATATTTAAATCTACATTGTATAAAATTACCTTCATGAAATCAACTGTTTGTAAACTGAATATATATTTATCATATTCTTTGATTAGCAGGGCTACTCCAATTGCAGGCTGTCCAGAACTTTTTAATGGAAAAAGGGCGAATTTTAGGGGTAAAAAAAAAAAGGCCTAAATTACGGCTAAAACCAGGATTTGAAAACTAAATCAAGATAGTTTATTTAAGATATTGAAATGAACTTACCTTCCTAAATTTGACAATAAAGAAACTCACGAAAAATATTTCAAGATCATGAAGGGCGTCTTGACATGGTCATAAGAACTATACAAACTACATTAAGACACATTTTTGTTTAAATGCATCTTTTTTAAGTTTCAGAAATATTTATTTCCAGTTGTTATAATAATGCAGACACTCTGAAATGCAGTTGATGTAATTACTTTAAGAAGTATATATAGAACAATGTAATAATTTATGCTCATTTTTTAATGTCCTGATGTGCATTCCCATTAATTTTTTTTTTACTTGAGAAAACACATTTTTACAGTAAGGTTTGTATGGGGTCTATCAACCCTTAATTTAAATAATTTTTAAACATTTTCGGTAACTATTTTTTAGTTTTTTTACACTAAGGATAACACGTATCTTCACTAATTCTTACTGTAACAACAAATAATGTAAAACCAGGCCCACAGGAAGCAAATTCAGTTGGGGGGGGGGGGGGCACAGCCATACATTTTCAGTTGGGGGGACACTATCAACTACCAAAAATTCCTTGACAAGCAAAAAAAAATAAATAAATAAAAAATAATAATAAAAAACAAACAAACAAACAAACAAACAAAACAAAACTATGGAATTCCATATACGACAGCCAACTGCTTACTGCCAACTGCTCACTGCTTACTGCCAACTGCTCACTGCCAGCTGCTTAATGCCAACTGCTACTGGTTATAGATGATATTGCCTGTTTTGTAATCTTTAATATATCTTTAATGCGCATGCTTAAATAAATTCTATGCAAGAAAAGAAACAATAAAATTGTTCTGCCAACAACCTCCAAGTTCAATTTTCAAAAGTTAACATATTTGAATGATTTTTCATATCTATATAGATATTTATAGGAATTTTCATAAAACATAACTAATTTGAGCAAACAAAGAGATGTAAGTCTTTAATTTTGGTAAAACTTGTGGTTTTCACAATAGAAAACAACGGAAAACGGAAATTTATCTTTAAAATCCCCCACCCCCCTCTGTGAAACAACAATTTCTCTTTACAGGTACCGGTATTATGAATTGTTATTTCACAAGTTCATGCACAAAGGTTTTGTTGTTTCACGGGGGGGGGGGGGGGGAGGTTACCGACTAAAAACAGGAAAAGAGTCATTTTATTACCAATTTCAAATGGGATAACAAATCAAAATGGATGTACATTATCAATCTGATATGTTGTCAAAGTATTTGAAAATCTGGTGATGTTTTAAGGCCTTATTTAATTGATAAGCTTTTCTACCCCTAATGAAAGAAGTTATATATAAATAAGAGTAATTAACTTTTTGACACTTGTTTTCAAAATTATTAATCCATTATTAATGAACTTTTCTCTGCATTCAAACAAGTTTTTCCTATTAAAAACAAAGCATTTAATCCCATATTTCCTTGCAGGCATATAATTCAATAGTTTTTTGAAGCGGGGGGGGGGGGGGGGGAGGGTATCCAGCACTATCTTTTAGTGTTTCTTTTTTACCTATGAAAAGTACCTGTATTTGTGAATTTTTATATGTGTCTTATTTAAATCATTTTTATGGCGAATGTCAGATCTGTAAAAATATTGGTGGTGGTGGTGGTGGGGGGGGGGGGGGGGTAGTCCCAGTAAATTGCCAAATTATACTTTACAGTAGTGCACCCTCAATAACGACACTTGTAGCCTTTTTTATTACTTGTCAAGAAATTTCTGTTGGGTTGCCCCCCCCCCCTTTCCGTGTATTTTTTCTCTTTTTCATTTTTTTTTCTTTCATTATACTTACAATATGTATTCTTTCTTTTTTTTTTTCTCCTTACATTATGATTAATTTATAATTTATTAATGATATAGATGTCATGCTAAAAAATCTCTGTAATAGAGGAAATAAAAAAATAAATGAATGAACCCAAAATCCTACTAAGAGTTTGTCCTCCACCTCTACCCTACAAAAATGTTATCTGAAGATACATAAACCTTAATCTCTGCCCCGTCAAAAAAAGCGATTGAATTAGTTGCCTGCAAGGAAATGTTGGAATTAGATGTTTTGTGATTAAAACTTCCTGGATCCGCCAATTTTTGTAATTATTGTAATATCCTCCCTATAATAAGGTTTATTCAAGCATGCGCATTTGAGATATTAAAGATAACAAAACACGCAAGATCATCTATAACCAGTAGCAGTTGGCAGTAAGTAGTGAGTAGTTGGCAGTAAGCAGCTGGCAGTTGGCAGTACGCAGTTGGCTGTAGTATATGGAATTCCATACAAAAAAAAAAAACAACAACACACACACACACACACAAAACAAAACAAACAAACAAACCAAAAAAAAAAAAAAGAAAAGTAAAAAATGTCATCAGACGTTTTTATTGAGGGGGCACAAGCATACGTACATCAGCTATGTTTTCTATAGTAATCTATATATCAGCTAAATTATGGGGGGCACGGCCCCCGTGCCCCCCCCCCCCGTTCCTACGGCCATGAAAACTTAAGTAATTATTATGTTCCCCAAACGAAGTTTGGGAACATATTGTTTTTACTCTGTTTCTTATTATTATTATTATTATTAAGGTCTTCCGACTTCCTTCGGAAGACCTTATTGTTTTCCGTCTGTTTTCTATTATTATTATTATTCTTTTTTCATAGTACAGGCCATATCTCAGCTATGCGTGGTTCAATTTGAAAGATTTTTTCAGGGACGATGCATCATGAATTTATCTCCAGGGGTGTCCCTCACATTTTTGAAATTCACTTCCGTTCGCGATTTTTGAGGAAAATTGTATTTTTTAAATGGAATTTTGTCCGTTAATTTTCTCGAGAACTGCTAAAGATATGAAATTGAAACTCACTGACCTGATAGAACATCAAATGGAGATACGGTAATTGACCTTTATTTTTCGTCGTTCGTACTTCCGGTCGCGAACGGAAGTGAATTCAAAAATGTTAAATTTGCAACTTTTTTGTTTTCCAATATTTTTCTTCAGGATTTACAGGGTTTATAGAGTGTCTTACAAGAATTCTAAATATGTATTCAATATTTTGATGCGTGCATTTATTGCAAAGATATGACCGATCCAAATTTTGTCCCACTGTCTGGGGTTCGAATCCTGCTGGAGGCAGTTAATTTTTTTTCCCTTTGTTTTTCTCTTTTTTCAGTTGCTAATGACTTCTCTCTCTTTGAAAACATGTATGGTAGTTTTTGCTGATTTTTAAAAGCTTTTTTGTCAGAGATTCTGTAGAAAACCTTTCGACATATACTGAATATCTTTGCATCTATAATATGTCCTTCTAAAACTATTTTAAGGATTTCATTCTTGTCCCCAAAGCTTGACCCATTCAAAAGTTGTCACCCCTTTTGCAATAAAACCTTGTTATCGCTACTCCTCCGAAACCGTAAACCGTAGAGATTCCAAACCTTCATCAGTGTCTTCGACTCATTTAGTGCTCTCTTCATTCTATCATTGCAAAAGCATTCTTTGGTCCCTTGTATGAGTTACTGCCCCTGAAAGTTTACGCTGCTTACATTTAATGAACTTTTTTTTAAAAACGGTGTATCCTAGAGACATGGGACCAACTGCATGGGCATATTTGACTTTGATCTTGAAATATAGGTCAAGGTCAAAGGTCAAGGTCATTTAAAAACACAAGAAATTCCTTATATATGTGTAAAATATAGCAATTCACCAAATGACCTTGAACTTTGACCTTGACCTTTGACCTTGACATTGGGTCAAATGAGAAGTAAGGACATGCATCCAGCTCCAGTATCAGGTAAAAACATAGAAAGTAAAGATTTCCTTGAGGGTTTTTTTTTGTTATGACCTTGACCTTTGACCTTGACCCAAAGGTCACAATCAAGCTTAAGGATGTGAAAGTAGTTACAATTCTTAGTTTAAAAGAGGCATAAAATAAATAATTCTCCCCCCCCCCTTTCTTAAAAAAGAATCACATCAACAACAACGTAGAATATTTCTGTAAAATTCAAACCAGACCTCGGATCGACACCAAATTTGGTACAAATGTAGTATAGACCTCAGAGAAACTTTCTTGAGAGTTTTACGGTGAGTCTTATAAGTTTATAGAAGTCATGAAGTTTCACGGCAAAAACTACACTTTCTGTTGTGTTTGAAATTAAAGTGCAGGTGAACGAAGAAATGATCTAAACCTTTTATCGGCTATTTCTTCAGATGTCGTTAGTAGCATTTAATTTTCCTGATATGATACGACATTTTAATACCAAGCATTCTCTCTTTCTTTTACATCTGGAATTTATTTGATTTTTATTTAGAATTAATCAGTTTCCAGAAATAGCGATTTTCGGTATATTAAAAACAATTCTCGCTTTCATTGTCGTGTTTCCCTTCTAAAAATGCCTGTTGGGAGTTTAATTTGTGCTACACATATTTAATTTAACCCAAAGAAATGCTTATTTAAATGTTTCATATTTATTTCAGGATATTCAGTCAGAAATGTTAAAATCCGAACCCGATCTTTTAAGCTTACAACAAAGCTATTTTCAAAAAATTAAGCATGCTCACAATATCGATGAATCGGGCTACAAGCCATTAAATACATTTTCATTAGGGAACAGTATTAACGTTTTCTCACGCAGCCCGTCCCTTGTTATTTTATATGCTGCTTGCAAGTTCAGGAACTATTTCCCTTTACGGAACTTCTTTCTTCCCCTACCGAT